AGATACAGTGAAGACAGCGCGTTAGTTTAGAACTCTTCTAATTTTTTTTTTTTATTGTAGAGAGGGTGTTAATTTGTGCAATGATAACCTACCGGCAATGTAAATGATTTTTTAAACATATTAGAATGAGTACATTACAATATAAATTTATTAGAACAAGTACATTATTATTTGTGGTCTTAAAAACAATATGCAAACAATCAGAATATTGTACCTAGTGGGGAGTGCACAATGTAGACATGAAACATATGCCATTACCTATATTGTACTGTGGTACAGTTATGGAGGCCCTTCATAATGCAGAGGTCAGCTGCCTGCTCTGCCAATAGTTAGAAATGGCACTATAGTAAGCAGTGTTTAATAAACAGCTGTTTTTCTAAATTCTGCTGAGGTGAAATTCAGTGCAGTAATGTATCGTGATACGTATCGTATCGTGACTTTGCTGGTGATACACAGCCCTAGTAAGTACATTTAATATATTGCCAATAATTGTAAGCAATTATGAGAGGAGAGGAGCCATACAACAGCAAGAGATCCTCTGAAAACATCACCTGTCAATGAGAACCTTCACGGAACTGTCTGTGTCCTCCTGCAGTTTGGCCAGATTAAACTCCATTACATAACATTAATTTGTTCCTGCCAGTCTGTGTGTGTATAAGAAAATATATTCTGAACCACAATACTTTAAAGGGGTCCTATTATGCGTTTTCACTTTTTTAATTTTAGTCAGTGTGTAGTGTGTATGTTTGGGCATTAAAAAGATCTAGAAAGTTACAAATCTCAAAGTCCACTCCAAAGGGAGATATTTAGTTTTTTAAAAATCCCTTCTCAAGAACTACAACGAACGGCTCGTTTGGACTACAGCGTTTGGTTTCCGGGCTTTGTGATATCACAAAGCGGCTCATTAGAATTTCATTACACATAATTCCGAGCCGTTTGTGCCAGCCTGGGGAGAAAGGTATTTTAATAATGTAAATTATGTGAAAAATTATGTGTTTTTCGAACCACCAAGCATAAGAGCATGTTCTAGTACACCCCCAAAACAAAATCAAGACTTTGTAAAGAGCATAATAGGACCCCTTTCAATTATTTTCTTTTCAAATTGGTTGTCATCCAGTCTGCAAAATTATTTTCAGAAGGACTTCTGGAATGTTACTCTATTAGCTAAATCTAGAAAAATAGCCTACACTGTTTAAAGTTGGCATGAAATTAAAATTCTCTCATGTACATAAACTCATGTATTTTCTAAATGCATGTCATTTATTTTATTGTGAACAATTAAATAATTCAAGTATATGTTTCTTTTTTTTTAATCAAAATGTCATGACTAGATCTTCCAATAAAATGACATACTTTTGATTGGTGAGGTAAGATGGACTTCTTAATTGATTTAGTCTGCTTAAACTCTGTCCCGTCACAATTGACTGAAAGCTCGTATTCAACCAATCTGACACCATCCAATCAACAACCGATGCATAGAACCAAGTCCCGCCATTCATTTTTTCTTTAATAATTTGTTTTACTTGAATGTACGTCAAAATATGATAGAAAATAACTGCCGCTATTTCTGTTCCATCAGGACTTTAAGAAGATTCATGAAGAAAAAGATTTGAAAGTGAAAGTGACATGTGGCCAAGTATGGTTACCCATACTCGGAATTAGTGCTCTGCATTTAACCCATCCTAAGTGCGCACACACACAGCAGTGAACACACACACACATCGTGAATACATTCCCTCCCCCCACCTACAATCCCTGCCGGTACGAGACTCGAACCCGCAACCTTTGGGTTACAGGTTCGACTCTCTAACCATTAGGCCACGACTTCCGACTTGTGTTCTCAAAAAACTACACTGATGAAAAAAACTGTTCCTCACAGGATGCTGATGAGTTCCATTTCCAACTTGACATTGCAGGAGAAACACTGAAATGAATCTTAGAGCTTAAATTAGTTCAGTCTGAGGCATCTATTTCCAGTAATTCATGAGTCAGTTTGGCCTGACTTCATCTAATCAGTCACACACTACTGAGACATACTGTATGGGAGCAACTAGTGACAGATCGTTAGATTGACCAGGGCAATTATTTGGCTGGTATTATTGGGTGAAATTATTAGCACCATTTGAGCTACATCACAACATCCTCATCTATTGCTGTCGTAAATAAAATGAGAAAGGGACAGAGAGGCAGGTTAAGGGGGCAGAAAATGCTCTCTCTACCGCTTTCAAGTCTCATTGTTACATAACTACAGGCCATGACAGCCACTACATTCCACAGACTAGGCGTTTAGCTACAAGATCAGACAGACAGCTGCACACAGACGGCAACAAGATAGCAACAAGACAGTTTCTTACACATGCACAAACACAGAGAGGTTTGGGTAAAGATCATTAAAAACAGGCTTTGTTTGTGCTATTTATTAAGCAACTGACTAGTAAATTTGGAATAGAATTCAGATTGGTTTTCTACTATCATATTTTAGATGATTAAAGGTTATGCAAATTTATACTAAATTATTAATGCTCTTTCTTTTTACAGTAGAAGAAGAGACTGACTAACTGAACATAGCCTATTTGAACCAACCTGCAGAAAATTATTTGAATTACAGGCTGTGTTGACAAAAATATTGTAATTTCAAGACTTTAAAGATAGATGTTACATTCAAACAGCAACTTTGTCAATTTGAAGTAAGATAACAATAGTCTGGAAATCTAAAGAAAAATAGGTTACAGTCATAAAATGATGAGTAAACTGTCTTTGAATAGACTTCTAGAGATAAAAAGGGTTTACTATTTTCCTAAATGTGTGTCTTCCATGTGACTCATGTTTAAATGCCAAAAAAATGACAGTTTCTACAGTCAGTTTTACTATATTGCACTATCATGGTCAATTTTAACCACTCAGAATCAATAATAAGCTCCAAACTGAATTGACGACATCTCAGTCATCTCTTCAACACAAACTGCTTTTGTTAAATGGAATCAGACTAGAAAGTTCTCTCAGAGACAGAAAGAAACCTGTATCAGTTATGTAACACAAAATAAGCGTTAGGGTATATTCAGTGGTGTTTCTCTACATAGAAATAATCAAATTACCACTACGGGTCCAGAGAATAACATTCTGCTATGGTTATAATTGCACACTGTCAAGAGCATCCAAAATGTTTGTTTATCAGAGTGTGCATTCTAACAATATTTATAGAAGAAAGTTGCAGACAATGCTGATAGTGGCTGATTCTTCAATTAGTGCCACTTTTGAAGCAACATCTTCTGACTGTTTTAATCTGTGTTACAATATTTGCCACATCCAGTAATAAAGATATTATAAGATTTATATGAATTCAAGTGGATTTGTTATAATATGATATGTGGTGGTGCACTTTTTTTTTTTATTAAAGATAAACCTTGGACTTGCTTACACAACAAGTTAAAAGTCTATTAACCATAGAAATGGGTTGTACAATTCTACAATAATAACCTCTATGGTAATGACACCTAATAAAACTACTAAAATCATAAGCTTGAATGTATTTTAATCTATTCTTCGAAACTATAGTATTTTCTTAGGGGACAGAAAAGTTACCCATATTAAAGATTCACTGTCAGTAAATGACGTACAGTATATCAAACATTCATACGTGTACATTAACAGGCCTATATGCGGTTTATTTTTTGTGTTTTTTAATGTTTTATTACACACAGATATATATATATATCTCCGAGAATTTTTAGCATTCATATTATGATCTATAAGGCCCGATGTTTTCAGGTGATGAAGTGACTGGTGTTTATTCCCGAACCGCTGGTGTTGTGATCGATATGCGCAAACACAGGCCTCATGCGCCCATTTGACATAACAGCAGCACGCCCTGTGGGCCTATTTAGTGATTTATCACGTGTATATTCTTTTCTCTCTTTTTTTTTTTTTTACATAAAATGCACCATCATTATGAAAGCCAAGTCGAAACATAAATAAATAATGTAAAATCAGCATCAAAACAAAAAAACATACAGCCTGTCCATGACCGCTTGTTTCTTTACACTAACGTGCCTCTTATGGGCCTTGATTCCGGGAATTTATTATTTTAAAAGCTGAGAAAACCACCTTAAAGACCGTAAAAACACACTATGCAGACATTTAATGTTAACGACGATGCGAGCGTAAAAATGGGCGTATGTGAGCGGAGATAACATTGCACGCGCACACGTCTACAACGTTTGTATTTTAGCATTTTAAAATAACAACACGCATAAATGTCGAGTTAGTTCATTCTTAATAAGGAACAAAATCACCATCTCCGTTAAATGTGAATCAGCAGCAGTGATGTAATATTTGCCAGCGGGCAGTCACGTCAACTTCCACCACACCGTGTTTACCAAATTCCCATTCAATTATAAAACCAAAGCCATATTTATACTCACGTTGACGATAAATGTCATCTCCTAGGTTCCCAGATGTCTCGACGTCAAATCACGCTGAACGATGGCCACGTTTGGGTTGATTTTGTGGTGAAGATACTGAGCGCCACAGCGGCGCTACGTCAGGATGAAGCGAACCCGCCCTGACGCTCAGACTAACTGCGAGTCCTCTTACAATGCTGACTTTTGGGCATCTCTACGGTAATACACGGTCATAAATCACGTCTTTTGGGTCCAGATGACCGGTTTTGCATACTGTGGTTTGACAGCGTGAGGGTGGGTGGGGTGGTTAGACTGCTGGTTCCCTGCAGGCAGCTCTTTGTTCAGCCTGCTCTCTAGTCATTAATAGAGATGCATTTCTCATTGTTTAGTCGAAGAATGCCTGCCTTTACTCTCAGACTCGGAGTTAAGTCTTGTGAATGGTGTAAGGGCCGTCTGTCTGGGGGGCCCACCTAATTTTAGTTGGATAGGATAGAGAAAACAGGGAACACAGATGTTCCAAAAAAGTATCTGGATATTTAGGGCATGCATTGTAAATGTCATGGCAAATGGGATAAACAATATTTAAAAATGACATCTGCTTGCTAAGTTGGCAAATGTTGTTAGACCTTTTCACAGAACAATATTCACATTACTCTTAACCAACTGTTCCCCAAGTCATTCTTAGAGGATAGAAATCAGTAACAACAGATGTCGTACAGTTTGTGTCTAAATATATTTTTGTAAATATGCTTGTTTAATATCTAAATACGTATATTTCAATATTTATATAAATATATATTTAAATTAAATATTTATATATGCATATATTTGATAAAATATCAGATTTATTTATTTAAAATTAAACTATTTTATTGTTTTGAATTAGCTATATATATATTTAAAAGGGTCATATGATGTTGCTAAAAAGAACATTATTTTGTGTATTTGGTGTAATGAAATGTGTTTATGCGGTT